GAAGGCCGAAGAGCATGTGGTGAAAAAGTTACCACAATACGTGGGTCGTGTGAGATCACATTTTTCTTCACCATTGAAGCTTCATCATTCAATTCTTGTAGGGTTCTTGCTCCCATCACAATATTCATCATCACCATCAACATCACAGCCACAAGGACTAACACACCAAAACCTAATTTCTTTTTGTAGTTCATCTTCATACTTCTTTAAAATCACTTCTTTATTTGAGGAAACCCTTCTCCAACATGTAAGCAATACATGTACACCTATATTTAGTCCTCTTCACTATATAACAATAAACCACACAGATTTCAACCAAATAGTTTGAGGAATGTTCAACCACCACTAATTCTATACCTGTCTTTTGCCTTTTTCTTACTTTTAGACTATTTTGAGTAAATTTTCATCAACCATAATACTTGGTTCTTATATACTTCAATAATTTTAACATTTATTTTTTATAATTAAATAAGAAGTAATGTAATTCAAGACAAACTATAGATAGGAGGAGCTACATATATATACTTTTCTTTTTTTAGAATTTGTGTAATTTTAGTTTTAGCATAAATGGATATGGTATGTTAACTTTCTCTACCATCATCTCTAAACAAATTGAAAAACGTTTTATGTGAGAATGAGGACAAACAACTGGTTTTTAGCAATTATAGATTAAGAAATGTTCATTTACAGAAATGGTTCATTAAAACAATGTTCATTCCGAAATGAAAGAATGTCGATTGTTTGGCGATGAGTGTATTTCTAACCACTTCAGAAAGACTTTAGGTTCACAAGGAATTTTAACTGGCAGCCAATCAATAATGAACTTATAGAGCCACTAACGCCAAAAAAATGCTTGTAAATATGACTTAAGAAAAAGCTGGTATATGCACTTCAATTAGCCAATCGATAATGAAGTTATAGAGACGCTGATGCTAAAGAAAATGCTTGTAAATATGACTTAAGAAAAAGCTGGTATATGCATTTCAATTAGCCAAAAATCAAAACATCTTGAAAATATCATCACTAATATCATCACCAGTATGTGTTAGATAAGGAAAACTTACTAACAATGAACCAAAACAATTCTTCTTGTAACCTCTATTCTCAATCCAATCACACTTAAACAAAACTACTTTATATCTAAAGATAAAATAGAGCCAGAAATGGGTGAATTCACCATCTACAAGTCAATTAAAAGACTAGATTAGACCATGCACTGATCTTTTGAAACTTACTAAGTCACTTTAATAAAAGCTTTATATGTACATATATATACATATATATATTAATAGAAAGTGAATATAACTTACAAGTACAGCTAGCATCAATGAGGGTCCATTCCAAATAGATGTTGAAATAGAAACCAAATGTTAAATAAAAATTGGTTTCTAGCACTCACTGATAGCTGGTAGCATGTGAACCCATCATGCATCGAACAACACACTGAAGAAGGAAAGCTGAACAAAATATATACGAGATTATATGCATATATACACACGAACAGAAAATTGTACATCTCAGGGAGAGGCACAAAATTCTTCTTTTCTCAGGGAATAACCTGAAGTACTTTCAAGACAACTACTCCAGACCGAAGCAAATTGAATATACATCATATGAATAAATTACATTTGACAGACCACTAAAATTAATGAATAGCAGATTAGAGGAGGCTTCCTTTTCTTGATCTGGGCTGAGGTAAGTTAACAAATAAGTATCTTGAAAAGTTCCTAGATGTCATTAACTTCTATTTGAACAAACCATAAATCAACTACAAATTCTCAGTAGAAACTTCAAGCAGATTCAACCAAATTGACAAAAAAGCCAAACCCAAACATAAACTAAAAAAAAAAAAAAAAATCAGAAATAATCAGAGTAAAGCAACATCACATAAACTCAACATCACACACGAAAGAGGAAACAACTATGAGAAAAAATTCTACATAGCACCTGAAATGAAAAACCAGAAGCTATTAGAAATCTCTACCTTGATATCCTGGTGCAGATAAGTCAACGTTGAAGCTTGAAGCAACGAGAGATAGTAGAATTCAGGCAACAGAAGAGACCATAGAAGCGTGATGAAGGAGACTTAAATAATGGAGTTCGGCCACTGATGATTGATGACGATGAGGAAGGTCGTGTTGACGAGAGATGAAAAGGATGGAGTCAGGCTACTGAATAGGAGAGATGACGATAATGGGTTGGGTTGGGTTGAAAATTTAACACTCAAATGGGCTTAGGATGTTATTTAAATTGGGTTTTCTTCGGCTTGAGTTTTATTTATTTAAATGGATTTCATTTATTAGACCATTTGTACATGTCCTTTTTTAGTATTGCAAAATTGTTCATTAGTAAAAGACACTCTCTACAACCAACATCCGTTCGGAAAAGATGGTCTTTACTACGATTTTCATGTTTTACTACGATTTTCATGTTTATAAATATACTCAGTAGAAGTCGACTCACTCGCTTATACATATAGTCTCTATTAACATATACCTATATTTAGTAAAAGAATATTATTTGTTAGTATGTATACAGACCTACTACGAACGTGTGCTTTTATCTCTAGTATTGTCTCGATAGTTCTAACATTTTTCTCAGTGATTTCAAATGTCATTTCTGACTTTTTTTTTTAATTTCAACTTCTACTAATTGTCGACACTCTTCACTAAATTGATGACACTACAATTAATTAAAACTTATCTCTCAAGAATTCAAAAAGTTGTATTGGAAGAGTTTGGTTAACATATATACATCTTAACCTTTAATTAGAATTATACAAATGTATTAA